AGGGGAACTTAAATTTAAGACAGGTTCGAAGAAAAAATTTGCTGCTTGCGTGGGTCAAATGTTGGGTTAAATATCATGTATTTTTTTGCATTTTTTGGCGTTTCTGATGTGGTATTCATGGTTTTCCCAAGTCTAAAATCTGGGGATAACACTTTTTGAAACAATTTCATTCTTCTAAAAAAACATGTATTCAACAAGTAGTTTATAAATATATATATGTAGGTGTGTTGTGCAGGATGAATCCACTATCCATGTTTATCTGAGACATGCCCTTTACTTTTAGGATCAAGCCATTTCAACTGTATTTTGCTACCTATAGTTTTCCTCCAAAGGCCACCGAAAGCCTGACTGGCGGTTAATCCCTCTAGTATCATACTATGTCAGTCTATCAAATACACAGGTTCTTCACATCTGGCTTAGTAAATAAGCAATAAACCAATCAACACGTTGCATAAAAAATACTGATATTTATTAAGTAAACACGATTAAACTAGCTATAACAAGCGTGTCACTAATATGTACAGTTATAACCGAAGATATATGAGACACAGAAGGAAGGAGAAGGTAATTATAATTAAACCTTTAGAATGAGACGTCCCCCATCCGCAAGTAAACTGATCTCATCTCACTACATAACAGGATAAAAACCTTCCCTGACAATTCCAACAATAACAATTACAGTTAACGTTGAGTCTTGGTTTCATGAAGACGGAAACCAATATATAAAATAAGTATTTAATATATCTCTATTTTATATCGCTCGACATGGTATCGATCAATAAACTGGATGCGAAAATATATAAAAAAAAATGAATGATTGAAATGGGGTCAAGTCCTAATCAATCTAGAAATGAATGTATGTTGCAGTTTGCTGAATCAAATATCTCGAACATTTTAAGAACTAGAGTACACTAAATAAGAAGGATGTTAGCTTTACACATCCTCTTTTAAATATACACAGTAAAACATTACCGTAATGTCGGCATGATATATATAAATAAGAGAGCCTAACAATTTAATATGTACTACGGTATGATATAGGAACTATTTAACATGTACTACGGTATGATATAGGAACCATTTAACATGTACTACGGTATAATATAGGAACAATTTAACATGTACTACGGTATGATATAGGAACCATCTAACATGTACTACAGTATGATATAGGAACAATTTAACATGTACTACGGTATGATATAGGAACCATTTAACATGTACTACGGTATGATATAGGAACCATTTAACATGTACTACGGTATGATATAGGAACCATTTAACATGTACTACGGTATGATATAGGAACCATTTAACATGTACTACGGTATGATATAGGAACCATTTAACATGTACTACGGTATGATATAGGAACCATTTAACATGTACTACGGTATGATATAGGAACCATTTAACATGTACTACGGTATGATATAGGAACCATTTAACATGTACTACGGTATGATATAGGAACCATTTAACATGTACTACGGTATGATATAGGAACCATTTAACATGTACTACGGTATGATATAGGAACCATTTAACATGTACTACGGTATGATATAGGAACCATTTAACATGTACTACGGTATGATATAGGAACCATTTAACATGTACTACGGTATGATATAGGAACCATTTAACATGTACTACGGTATGATATAGGAACCATTTAACATGTACTACGGTATGATATAGGAACCATTTAACATGTACTACGGTATGATATAGGAACCATTTAACATGTACTACGGTATGATATAGGAACCATTTAACATGTACTACGGTATGATATAGGAACCATTTAACATGTACTACGGTATGATATAGGAACCATTTAACATGTACTACGGTATGATATAGGAACCATTTAACATGTACTACGGTATGATATAGGAACCATTTAACATGTACTACGGTATGATATAGGAACCATTTAACATGTACTACGGTATGATATAGGAACCATTTAACATGTACTACGGTATGATATAGGAACCATTTAACATGTACTACGGTATGATATAGGAACCATTTAACATGTACTACGGTATGATATAGGAACCATTTAACATGTACTACGGTATGATATAGGAACCATTTAACATGTACTACAGTATGATATAGGAACCATTTAACATGTACTACGGTATGATATAGGAACCATTTAACATGTACTACGGTATGATATAGGAACCATTTAACATGTACTACGGTATGATATAGGAACCATTTAACATGTACTACGGTATGATATAGGAACCATTTAACATGTACTACGGTATGATATAGGAACCATTTAACATGTACTACGGTATGATATAGGAACCATTTAACATGTACTACGGTATGATATAGGAACCATTTAACATGTACTACGGTATGATATAGGAACCATTTAACATGTACTACGGTATGATATAGGAACCATTTAACATGTACTACGGTATGATATAGGAACCATTTAACATGTACTACGGTATGATATAGGAACCATTTAACATGTACTACGGTATGATATAGGAACCATTTAACATGTACTACGGTATGATATAGGAACCATTTAACATGTACTACGGTATGATATAGGAACCATTTAACATGTACTACGGTATGATATAGGAACCATTTAACATGTACTACGGTATGATATAGGAACCATTTAACATGTACTACGGTATGATATAGGAACCATTTAACATGTACTACGGTATGATATAGGAACCATTTAACATGTACTACGGTATGATATAGGAACCATTTAACATGTACTACGGTATGATATAGGAACCATTTAACATGTACTACGGTATGATATAGGAACCATTTAACATGTACTACGGTATGATATAGGAACCATTTAACATGTACTACGGTATGATATAGGAACCATTTAACATGTACTACGGTATGATATAGGAACCATTTAACATGTACTACGGTATGATATAGGAACCATTTAACATGTACTACGGTATGATATAGGAACCATTTAACATGTACTACGGTATGATATAGGAACCATTTAACATGTACTACGGTATGATATAGGAACCATTTAACATGTACTACGGTATGATATAGGAACCATTTAACATGTACTACGGTATGATATAGGAACCATTTAACATGTACTACGGTATGATATAGGAACCATTTAACATGTACTACGGTATGATATAGGAACCATTTAACATGTACTACGGTATGATATAGGAACCATTTAACATGTACTACGGTATGATATAGGAACCATTTAACATGTACTACGGTATGATATAGGAACCATTTAACATGTACTACGGTATGATATAGGAACCATTTAACATGTACTACGGTATGATATAGGAACCATTTAACATGTACTACGGTATGATATAGGAACCATTTAACATGTACTACGGTATGATATAGGAACCATTTAACATGTACTACGGTATGATATAGGAACCATTTAACATGTACTACGGTATGATATAGGAACCATTTAACATGTACTACGGTATGATATAGGAACCATTTAACATGTACTACGGTATGATATAGGAACCATTTAACATGTACTACGGTATGATATAGGAACCATTTAACATGTACTACGGTATGATATAGGAACCATTTAACATGTACTACGGTATGATATAGGAACCATTTAACATGTACTACGATATGATATAGGAACCATTTAACATGTACTACAGTATGATATTGGAACCATTTAATATTTACTACGGTATGATATAGGAACCATTTTACTTGTATTACAGTATGGTATAGGAACCATTTAACATGTACTGCGGTATGATATAGGAACCATTTAACATGTACTACGGTATGATATAGGAACCATTTAACATGTACTATGGTGTGATATAGGAACCACTTACCATGTACTACGATATGATATAGGAACCATTTAACATGTAATACGGTATGATATAGGAACCATTTAACTTGTACTACAGTATGGTATAGGAACCATTTAACATGTACTACGGTATGGTACAGGGACCATTTAACATGTACTATGGTGTGATATAGGAACCACTTACCATGTACTACGATATGATATAGGAACCATTTAACATTTACTACAGTATGATATTGGAACCATTTAACAGAAGCTACGGTATGATATAGGAACCATTTAACATGTACTACGGTATGGTACAGGAACCATTTAACATGTACTATGGTGTGATATAGGAACCACTTAACATGTACTACGATATGATATAGGAACCATTTAACATGTACTACAGTATGATATTGGAACCATTTAACATTTACTACGGTATGATATAGGAACCATTTAACATGTACTATAGTATGATATTGGAACCATTTAACATGTACTACAGTATGATATAGGAACCATTACATATGTACTACGGTATGATATAGGAACCATTTAACATGTCCTACAGTATGGTACAGGAACCATTTAACATGTACTATAGTGTGATATAGGAACCACTTAACATGTACTACGACATGATATAGGAACCATTTAACATGTACTACAGTAAGGTACAGGAACCATTTAACATGTACTATGGTGTCATATAGGAACCATTTAACATGTACTACGGTATGGTACAGGGACCATTTAACATGTACTATGGTGTGATATAGGAACCTTTTAACATGTACTACGGTATGATATAGGAACCATTTAACATGTACTACAGTATGGTACAGGAACCATTTAACATGTACTATGGTGTGATATAGGAACCACTTAACATGTACTACGATATGATGTAGGAACCATTTAACATCTACTACAGTATGATATAGGAACCATTTAACATGTACTACAGTATGATGTAGGAACCATTTAATATGTACTACGGTATGATGTAGGAACCATTTAACATGTACTACGATATGATATAGGAACCATTTAACATCTACTACAGTATGATATAGGAACCATTTAACATGTACTACAGTATGATATAGGAACCATTTAACATGTACTACGATATGATATAGGAACTATTTAACATGTACTACAGTATGATATAGGAACCATTTAACATGTACTACGGTATGATATAGGAATTATTTAACATCGAATGCCCCAAATACTTCAACAAATGTATGAAAACATTGATAATGTAACATTAATGAAAAGTTTGTTTGAGATAATATTGATGTGCAATTTATACATGATTATTTATATTCAAACCATCCGTTTTAAATGGCTATTTTTTTAGCCAGGAGACACTAGCCATTGATACAAATGCTGTCGAAGTCCAGCTAGTAATCGCATTTGTGGTCTGGTTGTATATATTTGTGATGGTAAACGTGATGCCCGAGTGTAGGTTTGTTACATTTTTTGGTTTATTGTGTTGAAAATTTACTTTATTGTAATTGGTACTCTGTTTATATAATATCTGAATGTATGTCTTAACATGTATATTTACACGCCTATTCACAGTCTGTGTTTCATCATAGATCTAGATGTAAGATAGAGTTTTCTCGCTAGCAAATTTTCAAATACATACAAAACTAAATGCGGGTACCTTCATTAGACAAATTAAAGCAGTCCCGCGACTTGTTTAATTATCGGTACATGTACAAGGGAGGTCTATTTGAAGAGCGTTGATCTGTTGGACAAAAATGTACGCTCGCGCATGGTCTATCGCCCAATAACTCATGGTTATTAACCAATGAAAAGTGTCGTTACATCGCAAACGTGGTAGAACTACATATTTAACACTATGTTTTGGTCAACCTTCGAATCATCATTTTTGTACTTTTCAGTGAATAGTAATATCCCTTCCAGCTATGCCATGTTATTCCTTTGGCATATATAGAAGTTCTGCCGGATAGGTAGAGCCCGTTCAGGTTGGATACATGACACTTTTCGTACCACCAGGCACCGTGATATAGAACAGCACAGTTGCCAATTATATTATCTTTATCTTTATCTATTGTGCTGAACGGATAGCCGTTATGTCTCTTCAAAGAATCCCCTGAAAAAGGTAAGTCAGATTTAATACAAAAAAATAAAACACTGAAATAATTCCTTCTAACGTATATTAACATTGAATACATATCTTACTCTTAAAAGTCAAGCAATAAACAACTGATTACAACAGGGTAAAAATATGTTACGCTTCGACAAGAAAATCCGGCTGTTGAAATATGTCTCACCTCTTTAAAATGATATCAACCGAGTCTCAAAAAATGAAATACAAGTCTTAAACTTTATTTGTGAAAAAACATGGTAGAATTTAATCAATCCTATCCCGTTACAGAATCTATTTGTTTGAACTAATAAAGAGATATGGAATGGTAGAATGTCGGGTCTTTTATTTAATTATGAATAATGATTTGATAATATAATACATGATGGTATATTTTAAGCAACACTTAACATTCATAAGCTATAACCATATCAATGAAGTTTCTGTAAAAATTGTGCTTATTTAAGTAAATTGAGTTTATTCTATTTAAATAAGTACCTTTTAAGTTTTAAATCATTGGCGGTAATGAGATGAAGCTCGAAAGGTCATAAATACCTCACAAATCAACACAGACCTGTCCATCTTCTCCGAAGTGAATTTATTTGCTGAGAAAAGGATAAACCTGTTTTGAAGTTATGTGATGTTGTCATATAATCGCTTGAAAACACAATCCTTGAAAATAATAAAGTTCAAGTAATTGCCACCAAAACAAAATTGAAATATATTTTTTTCCGCAGTACCAAACTAAGTTTTCGTTTTCGTTTGTGATCACCGTCCCATCTAAAGCTAACGTAGACATATCAGACTAATTAAGTTACCTGCGTTTCCTGAATAGCCCGATATGTTCAGTCGATAGTTAACCATGATGTTCCAAATGGCGAACTGTTGGTATTGGGCATATGCAGTGTTATTTTCGAAATCCTCAATATCAACTCTCAGTTCAGTATTATCTGCTGACGTGAGTGCGTGTAATTTGTCATTTCCTGAGAAAGAAAATGTGTAGATAGAGCTTTATATTTTCTGCTATTTTTCACAATCAAAACATAAATGCTTAGCCTTGGTGGGGAAGTTGTGTACATCTGCACCTCTGGATGAGATATACACACCTTTGTGGCGGATATTTACAACCCCACTATGGCTAAAGGTCATAATTAGATAATTAGCAAATCAGTGTGTATTGATGTACATTTTGTTATCTAGGTTATGTAAATTAACTTGTGATCAAATGTATGTCATGTAATAATTTGTCATTAAATGTCACCTTCGGTGGCCATTTTCAACTTCAATTTGTTGTTTGGTTATCTTTGAGTTGAAGGAGCATAAAAGGCAGCTAATTTATTAGCTTAATTTATGCCTTGAAAAACTCAAAGAAACCTATTGATCTCGGTTCATGATTATACTCCCAAATTATTAAGGGAATTAACTTTTAAACTATGTTTGTATGATTTTATATTAAAAAGTAGGCATTTCAAATTCAAATTATTTTACATAGTCGGATGAGAAACTTTTCCTCTAATTTGATTGGTCAAGCCATATTAGGGAACAATCTTGACACGCATGCGCACTTTGTAGCGTCACTTCCAGCTTAAGCAGAAACAAGGTTGCGTTCAGCCTCCACGAGAGAACTTTATTTATCTTATAAATAGTTAAGCAGTATCTTATACAGCAGTTTACGGGATCAATTATAAACCCACCCTCTTTCCACCCTTCTAAAACATTTCATTTCTTCATTTTGGGCGGATATTTACAACCCCACTATGGCTAAAGGTCATAATTAGATAATTAGCAAAACAGTGTGTATTGATGTACATTTTGTAATCTAGGTTATGTAAATTAACTTGTGATCAAATGTATGTCATGTAATAATTTGTCATTAAATGTCACCTTCGGTGGCCATTTTGAACTTCAATTTGCTGTTGGGTTATCCTTGAGTTGAAGGAGCATAAATGTATTTCCATGCGACACAGGAATTCTCTGATATTGTTATAATATACTCATCCTGTACGTATTTTACTTTCCACTTCCTAAGTTTCAACAGAAAAGATATATAACTTCTTTTGTTATATGTGCCACCATAATGAAACTTACAGTGTAGTTGCACTACAATCAATATGCCTCAACGCCATCTATTTTAATACTGTTTCTATAAAAAAACACTTTGCAATGGTATTTGTGAACTAAACACAAAATCATACCGATGTTGATCTTATAAAACCTGTTAAAACTAACCTAACCAAAACTCATGGTTAACGTCACCAAAGCCGTTTCTGTATTCTTCCCATCCTTTATAGAAGTCGGTGGCGCCATCTATACGTCTCTGAAATACCTGACAATATAACAAAGTAACAAAGTATTAATACATTGTGTTACGTTGTTGGTTTACGTGACGTCAAGCAAATTAACATTGATGAGTTCAGATGAACACCATAGTCTTTTATTGCCTTACATATTTACCCTGATAACCCCAGTTCTCGGTAAAAATTAATAAGAAACATAAAGCGTCAATATATCTCTGTCTACTTTTAAACCTACCGTCCAACCTCCACCATCTGTTTCCATATCACACCAAACCGAGGTCGTGTCCGTTCCTGTCACAGATACATTGTATACTCCACTCTGCGTACTCCCTGTTTTCAACAACGCTAGGTAGTCTCTCTGAAGTCCTTCATTTGATAAACAACATAGTTGTAAACATTTTGTTAAAATACGAAACAAAAAGTCTGCTCATTTGTCAGTGGAAACGGCCAGCGTTTGCTTTTATTCATATTCAATATTGCCGTGGAATTCCAATTTTTGTACCCATTTTTTCATGGTAAATGTTGGGAAAAAATAATTTGTACAACAAAGTATATCAGATATAGGTGAAAAAGCTCTTTTTAATGCAAAAAAGTAATAAATCAAAATTACTGCTGAAGTGTCATAGTAAGTTGTCTTGACATCAAATAATCGAAAGTAATGTGCCCATAGCATCATGATTATCTTGATACATCATCTGACAATACAAAATATGAATACATCAATCTCTTACTATGTCAATTTTGAAAAAAATATGATATTGTAGCGAGGATGTGTTTCGTAGATTTGGTTAACCAGGTAATTAATAATAATCCGAGGTTCTTATCTACCGTTTTATCACAACCTAGCTCGTAGGTCGTCTGAAAGCGGTTCACAACTTATTATCCTTACTAATCTAACGAGTCCTATTGCAAAATAAAGGTAAGGGAGACATAAAAATACTTCAAATAAGATTAAATTAACCATACACATCTTAACTGGACAAAAAATCACCCTAAAAGCATTTTTAAGGCGAAACAACTTAGTGCGAAACGACCCAGGGCGACGGGGATTTAGGACGAAACGACCTGACACCCATCTTTCCACCCAGAACGTTCTGCATGTCTACCTAGCTTCACGTCGTTAAAAAGAGGACAATCTCTATTTTTACAAATTTCTTCCCCTTTAACACACATGTTCACCGCTGTTATAATAATAACAAACACTTCAAATTCCTTGAGAGTGTGTAATTTTGACCAGATTTTCTAAAACGGCAGCGCAAATAACGAACAGTCGCCATTTATTTACAATTGGGGTTTCCCCAGCGGGCGGTAACTCATACCGAAAATGACGTCACGATAAGGGGAAATTCCCAGATTACGAGGTTTCCCGATGTTTGCAGATGTTTCCCAATTTCATTATACATATACCTTAAAAGTGAATTATTTTAAAATAGAGATTAAATGATTAAATTAATTTTACCTGATATCGACATATTCTTTAAAAGAGAATATGTTTCTTGTATTTCGGCAGCTATGTAAGTCAACTTTGATGACAGACGTGATAACAACTCCTTGTTCTGTTTGTTGCTACATCCAGACTCCGATATTCCATTCTCCAAATTACACACCAGAAGGAAATAAAACAAGCAATGATTCAACTTGGTGACATTCATGTTTGTCTGTTAAAATAAATCATCCACCTTCGAATTATTTACTGAAAGAGGGAACTGTTCAATTTTACGACAGGGTTATCTGTATGAATAGTAAAGCGTAATACAGATAAATGAAAGGTTGAACCGATCAATACGTGTGCTATTTAAAGACAAATTTTGTTCTTATATGTCCTTGGTGACTTCGAAGGTGTTTTGTTGTGACGACCGACCAGGATGTGACTGACGGCTATTTAAAAAGAACTTTGATCGCACAATGTAGATTAAAAACTTCGATAGGCAATCCATTTGCATATAAACAAGCTGGTTTTGCTGATTACTTTTCCCCGGATTCAAAGAATTACCCCATAGCGAGATTGAAGTTGCCAGGCAGGCTGATGGCAAGCAACCTCATGAACATACAAACAGTGGTCGTATGACAGTAAAACACTTGTTTCCATCGAAGTAACATGCGTTTTTGAAGGGACCGGCAAGCATTTATTTCAAAATACAATACAGAATGTAGTCGGTTTGTCGAAATGTCTCATTCAACAATGCGTAAACCCAAACGTAAGAAACGTATACAAAACAAACATTGCGTGACTCATGGTGTAATCGTACCTCTCTATTCAGACGACCGACCAGGAAGAAGTGTCCATTTACACTGAATTCCTTAGTCTGTGCATAATCTGTTAAAACGTTTGTAAATAGCATATGAGCAGCCGACATCAAACATACTCGTCTAAACACCATATACAAACTAGGACAGGGTACTGCTTTTTACGAACAAATATATATATCTTACCGGACATTAAGGAAGGTGGACATGATTCCTGTTATACTGTTGGTGGTCAGTCTTCTGGCTGGAATGCTAACTTGTGGCAAAACCCAATGTGTATGTGATGGGTATAGTAAGGACAACGAAATTATATATGAAGCATTTGGAAAGCTGACAAATCTTTCTATAGAGGTACAGGACGCTTTGGTCTTGATGGAAAACATCACTGCAGCAGCAGGGTCTTGTGGTAAGTAATCTCGTTCTTTCGACGAAAATAAATACCGTCAATAACATATTATAAGTTTCATTCTTGTCACTACTTACTTGACTCTGAGTTAATCCGAATTTGTTCAATCTTTTCACTTATTGCATATTCTATGCAGTTAAACACTGAGTCTTCTCATCAACTTTATAACAATGAAACTTGTTCCATACTGTGTTACAGTAAGTCATGTATAGTAAAACAATAAACATTCTCTGATTTTTATGGATTTGTTTAATTGTCTTCTCTTGGTACTTTAGTCTCCTCCCACTTTCAGACATTCTGTATCCTTCAATCCTGACCAACAAAGAAGATTTCTACAAGTATAGCATACATTTGAAATGCCTCTTGAATTATTCTCATTCACACGTACAGGCCGATATTATTCCGGTGCCGGGTTGGCTGTTCAAATAGTACAGTCGTGAAGTATAGCTATTTACAATGCTAGCGACATTGTAATATAGCTTTTCATGTAGTCTGTTTTTACTCAGCATATGTGTAAATATTGTGAAAAATCCACGGGTATGACCTATGCTAAAATGTGAGTATTTCTGTTACCGAGTAGGCCATATTGAATTTATGACAGGTTTTAAGAAAAAAAATACAACTTGCGTGGGTCCAATTTTGGGTTGAAAAACATGTTTATTTTGCAATTTTTGGCGTTTTTGAGGTGGAAACTATGGTTTTCACAAGTCCCAAATCTGGGGAAATCACTTTTTGAAAAACAAAAATTCTTCTTAAAAAACTGAATTCAAAATGAAGTTTATAAATATATATATATATATTTAGGTGTGTTGTGTAGGATGAATCCGCAATGCATGTTAATCTGAGACATGTCCTATATTCTAAGGATCAAGCCATTTCTACTGTAGTCTAATGCTACATTAGCCGTATTGAATTGAATTGTTGTTGCCTTTCTAATACATTTAAACAATGTTTGTTCTCCTAAGCATTGATGACAATATACAGTTCAATGGAATATTATTAGTTGATCATTTCAAATTCCTGACTGATGATCACTTAAAATATGTGATTTTGTATCTTATAATTAACAGTAGAAAAATATCTGTCAAATCTGAGCTAGATCATTTTGAGTGAGCTAAGTATGTCATTTACGCTGATATTGGATAAACTATTTGACGAGAATGGTGGATTGAAAATATGTTGAACATTCTGTATTGTTTTTCACATTTCATTACTTTATGTAATGACATATGCATGGTTGATGTGTTTTTATATATAATCTATGTAAGAGGTTGGGGACCTGCTCAACGGACAAACATAGCGACAATTAACTTCCTGTTGACCAAGGAATGTCTCGGTAAAGATAAAAGACATCCTAATACAACTCCTTGACTGTTATTACATGCATATCCAATCTTAGTTTTTGACGGACTTCTAGATACCCCACAAGTTATGAAGTTTCGTCCTTTATATTACTTTTTTACTTTTTTTGTTAAATTAATTCAGAACTGCTCTCTTTTACAGGAATGCCTTATTACGTCTGCCATAAAGAGAGTAATATAATGGTGAAGTCATTGTTATTGTGAAATGTCAAAATAACAGAAAGGCTTTAACTATAGGGTTAAGTGCTTTTACTTTTTTTCTTCTATCACATTAATTTAGAATTGCGCTCTTTTGCATGATTGCTATAATAAATCGAGTATAATACATTTCTCATTCTAAATTGTTCTTTTACGGAGTAACTAGCATATGTAACGTCGATTTACATTGGTTGAAAATACTGTGCTATGGATGCATTTATTTTGTCTTTCCTGATATATTATATAAATTTTACATAAATGAAAAAGCTCTTATATTTTTCTCATTTTCTCATTTTCTCTTTAATATCAGATTAATTTTGAATCCTTCTCCTTTACAGTATAACGGTGATTGATGTTTGAGGTTTATAATGATACATTGTCTTGATTAATTCTGTGCTGCTTTACTGTGAAGTTTATTTACATTCGTCACGCCATAGATACATTGATTCAGTTAATTTGTTTTATTTTCCTGATGTCTGATATTATTTTGTTGGAATGTCTTCCCGACATTCAATATCAATATAAAATACATATGATATGTTTTTAGTATAACATTGTACCATATATACAATATTATATAAAAACTGTCTTTGTTATAAATGTGTATTTTGTATGTGGGAGAGTGCGATGTGATTTGTCATGTAAACGTTTCTGTGACTGCCCTGTACTCGTCATGTGACTGTCCTGTAATCGTCATGTGACTGTAGACTGTATGTCTCCTCTTGGCAACCATAACATATTTAAGGAAAGATTCAAAGATGATCACATACTAATTTTAGCATGTCTGTCTGCAAACTTAAATTTTGGATCTGTAATACACCAATTGTTGAAAAAACTATTAAAAAATTATGTATATGAATGTATATATCTGAATCGAAAAAGACATAACAGATTACTATCACATTTATTTGTATGAGCTTCCTCCACATCAGTATTTGAACAACAATTGGAAGAAGTTATGGTAAGTATTCTTCATACGTTTTCTTTAAATAAATAGTACTTGTACAACATTGTATATCCTGATAAAGTTGTTCTAAGTAACATCTACTCAGTAAAGCTTTTGTATTTCCAATTTAATACGCTGCCCATATGTTTAATATTTTTTATAATGATATATATAGTAGAAACATACGTGACCTGTCATACTTTATACAGTAATCCTAATCTGAATATTAAGATTAGGTATAATATAACTATTACTGCCATTATATGCCGAACGACCACACTTTGTAAAGAATACGACTGACGAAAACCTAGTGATCATGTCTAAAAATACATTTATATGAATGCAAAATTGATAAGACATGAACAATAAATATTTGGTTGGTTCAATACGCTTGTTCCCTTCTGTGGTTGACAGGCGCGACCATGCATGACTGACGAGGAAACCTGGATCGTGTGACATAATCATTAGAATGGGTGTATTGAAGTTCCAAGGTAAAACTATTAACACTAGTTAATAAGTTGTCTGGTTAACTTTGTCTATTTCATTATGATTTTCTTTTTCTCATATATGGAACATTCTCAGACATGCTTTAAAGCTTAAGTTGGACATGCAATTATAAAAAAATGTCAAATTGACTTGAGCGTGTTAAGATTGTATTGCTTCTTCTCAGCAATGTATACTGTAAACAAAGTTAAATTCACGTTTCCATTGCTTACATTATCTTGAATTCGTTGATTCACTTCGACCCATAAACTGTGAAAATAGAAGTGCCCCGAGAAATGACTAGGTAAACAATATATATATATTGTAATAGTGATTTATATCAGGAAGTGATCTGCTAATGTAAATGCGGTATATATTAGTAGTTCTAGTTTAATGTTTATAATTTGTCTACCTAAAGTGAGTGTTTGGTTGTTAATATGATCACTATTTATGAATTTTTATGTTCACGTGTAAAATATTGACAATACTTACGGATTTTACTACCATGTCGATAATACGGGCACGCGTTATGAATTGCTTTTCCACGTCTTAAATTGTAATACTTGATATATCGTGATTTAACTTTAATTGTTTTCATTAATTCAAATCAAATAGAGTTGAACTATACCAAACCCTTAATATCAATATGAATGATATTACATTATAGTGAAAAACGCATTAAATACTGGAAGAATATCGCGTCCCCCAAAAAAATCAGCTTTTGTATTCATTTGATCCGACTTGTATAATTTATGTCTGTCCGTTGCTGTATGTAATCTTTCTTTTCAGCCAGGAATTGACACTATAAGCAACAGGACAACGGCTCAGTTGAAGGTGCGAAAACCGGGCTCCGAGGAATTTCTTAAGTATGTTTTCTTTTTCGAAATCATTCTCTTACTATCTATTCCTGTATTAGGTAGGTAGATTAAACCAACTAAATTAATAAGATTGTCTTAAAGCAAACTCATTAAATTATTGTTAAGTTCTAAGTTACCGTTAATACGACTCATTAACAGTTTAATATAGATATGTACCATTATATGTTATCTTAAATACATGAACTGTTTATATTTAACATATATGTCTACTCTTTATGAAACAACCCCCATTTCAATTTAATACAGGAGCTATGCATAATTTATCAGGGGTCTTTCTGACTGTTTCTCGGGATCTTATCACCAGCAAAATAGTAGCTAAATATAGGCCTGTGTCGCGTTTTCTTTTGTTTGCGAATATATAGCAGTGAAAATACCGGTTAGGTGTCAGGTTTATTATATCGTCACCTGCTATCTTAAATGTTCAATTAAATTCTCACTCGCACTCAGTACACATACAAGGTGAACATACTGTAATTAATGAGACGATAGATAGATTCTTTATGGTACCGTCTATAATGTCTAAGTAAAGATAATATAACGGAAAGAGGTTGACAGAACCACGTTTAAAGGAAAGTGGTTTATTTGAAAAAAAAAGGAGTAAAGAAAATATTTCGTTACAAATGTCCTTCAGACTGACTGAAATATGATCCCGAATACACCTGTTTAACAGGTTTTGTTTTTGTGGCAGCGAGCCATGTTGAAAACTTATATATCTTTTTTCACAGTGTCAAATACAACCTAGTTTTTAAACAATATATTATGATCGGAAGGTATAAAATATTTACCTGACAACGTGCGTCACATAGCGTAAAGCATTTCCGTCTTGAAGTATTTACAAGATATCGAGTGGAATGTGTCGTCTGCTACCTTGTCATTATAATGCGTGTGAACTTTGTCCCTTGTTTGCAGGTGATGCGGAAGGTAAAACCTTCAAATCACTTTGAGAAGTCCGTAGGAGTTAACAAAGACGTGGTACCTGTACTCCTCTTCCGTGCTTTATAAACTGATTCTCTCTAATTATCTGTACCGATCATTGCAAGAGTAAAAAGTTATTTTGTTTATTTTTGTTTGTTTTTGTTTTATATACAAAGTGAAAAAATGTTTTAGTATATGATATGGATGGTCTTAATAGTATGCATAGTTTTAAACAATGCCTTTTGAACAAGAAGTTCATGGCTTTTAATCATCAAGAAGAAAACTTGAGATAGAAGAACTATACCTTCCCATTGGTACTGAGATACGAAGTGGAAGAGGACATCAACTTAGCACTATATATTAATATGACCGAGTGTCATTATCCCATGAACTCCACCAGCTTGGAACAGCGCTGTCTCTAAGCTATTGGTATAGTATTAGAGCATTTATTTATAATGAAATAAACTAGTATATCATATTTTAATAGAAACACAACGAAATCTGTCATCATTTATCAATTCTGAAATTGCTGACAATTGCCTTCAGATCCTTCTTAATATAATAGTTCTTTAATAATAATGTAAAATATGGCAACTGCTAGTGGAATGATGAAGTCCATATATATTATTGCAAACATGGGTTATCTCAACTTGCAGACCGTATATGAAATACAGCCACGTGAAAGGTTTTATTCGCAAAATGGCATCGAAGATCTCAAATACAAGAGTAAAACAGAAAAAAGCAGCTGACATTGTCGTCGAAAATACGTTAAACAAATTCCAAAACACAGCAAACAAATGGGCACCAATAATAATAATATAATATACAACATTTATATAGCGCCCTATATAATTTTTAAAATTACTCTAAAGCGCTTTACATCATATGGATAATAGTAATGGTTACAATTGTGAAAAAAACCCAACAAAGGCTTGCAATCACTTTTATACATTTAAGTAAGAAATGTGCACATAATTGAACAAATAAAAGGGTGGTATTTACATGACGTCTTTTCAAGGATTCTAAAATGCAGACGTGAAGAGGTGAGTTTCTCATGATTGTTTGAAAATTATACTCGGTACTTGTATAGTTTTGTATCATAAATCTCATATAAAGGGAGCTACAGGGAACCAAATGATACATGTAGATCCTTTACTTCTCTGTGTGGATTCAAAAATATCACAAACATTTAAAAGGCCACCGCGTTAACAACAAAGAATTACAATGCAAAAGGCGCAGGTAATAACATAAAATAGACAACAGTTCATTTCATTTTGTTAAGGGCATAATATGCTTTATTCCATTTTTTCGGAATAGTTATTTTACAAAATATTTAAATGCAACTTTAATCAAACTATAACGTTTTAGTTAATCATTTTAACACTATAATCTATTAATCTGCTTAATAAATGTACATGTGTATACTTTTGATATTTTGATATCATATTGGTCTAAGGAATAGGACCAACACATTTGTTCCTGCAAAATACGCTTGAAGAATTACAGACAACAAAGAGAATATAGAAATCACACCGAAACTGGATTCAAATTTAAAATCCATAAATCGGACAAAAAAGGGATAAAAAGATGACAAACTTATAAGGATCCTTTTTTTCAAATATTTGATAATAAGCACAAGTTTTTTTAAAAGGGAAAAGTCGTCTGGTTTATCGATGGCATCCGCAATGTGAAGCTTATACAAATAGTGTTTTGTCCTCAAATTTGAAATAAGAGGGAAAAAAGCGAAAACGTTTCGGCTTATTAGCATCATCAAAACATCAAAACATCTACAGCAACAAATGAACATCTTAAATAAGAAAACGTTCAAAGGTCTGTTTCGGCAAGTGAAATGACTGGTCCACGGTCACGTGTTATAGCATGAAGACTCAACTACACTTACAACAAACATCATGTCATCCCCTATAGCATTTCTACTTGTAAAATGTTATAATAGAATGACAGCGTTACCTCTCAGTGAATGGCAATACGCACACCATCGACCTTAGATCGGTGGCAAGTGGCTCCGCCTACCTTTTTGTGAACCAGGACGTGTCCCCTGCTAGTCAATGCACACATCATTATTTTGTTTGTTTTATAATACACCGCTACGTAACACTTCCGATAATTAAGCGTGGACGTTACTTATGAGCAGTGATAGCACGGACATGGGCAATGTATCAGTGCTAGATTAACTTCCCTGTATATATTAACATATTTACTACAATATTGACAAACCCCAGTTTGGGTAGGTATACTAGGTGGAATCTTCAGTGTGACTGGTACGAACCATAGGGGAAACGTCACAGTATTTATCACGACCTGATATACATTACATGACAACCATTAGGAATGTGAAATACTCACAGCTATATTTCAGCTTCCAGACGCTACATCATTACACCTGTAACTGGTTTAAATTAGCGCATATTCAATTATGTTTTATTTGAAAAGTAGGAGATCTACCTTTTCTTAAAATTATTACTAATTTAGTGGCACAAACAACCGACAAATGCTACGTTTATAAGTGATGTGTGGGGTAATATATATCTTCTGAAATATAAGAAAGAGTTATGAAGAAGAAAACATGCAGCATAGTTTATTTTCAATCAAATAAATTTAAAACAAGATATAAACGGAAGGATGCAGTAATGTTTGCAAGTAAGATACATAAGAAGAAGATAGTAATCCTCGTTTCAGTCATGATAAAATTCAATCCATCTCTATAGATTGAATCAAATGACCACGTGAGTGTGATATCTTTTTTGTTAAAAATCATAATATTCCTAAAAGTGAATTAAAAAACGCACCAAACGACAATAGATCGGCTTGATGTGACGTCTTTTTCAATAATGCGTTTGATAGTATTATTATAAAGACTTGTCTAATACAATGAAGACAGCAGACTCCATAATTCACTTTCAAATACATATAACACTTCCTATATTGTGATGTTTATTTATACACATTAAAGTTACCTGGGCCATTATATGTATATGAAGTACTTAAAATATGTTATCACCGTTCCTTAAATCATATTCAATTATAAGTATATATATAATAGGCAGATGCTATCTTACACTGGTGCAGTCTGCTAATGTGTTCTTTATGTTGACAACATAGATATCCAGATCTGTTTTTGTAGATCACAACATTTGAAATGCATGTTTTTTTATAATATAGTCCCCCATATGCCAATGTAAACTTTTGTGTATGTGTTCGCGTTTCGGCACTTTCTGCTACCAAACACTTCCTGTCATTCGCAACTTTCGCAACGTGAACAATATTTTCTAGTGTGATTGCAATAAATAGCAAACATATGGATAAAATAGACACAGGGTCCTTACCTCAGTCGCAAGGCACAACACTATAACAGTAGTTGTTGCATTGCTTAAATTATAAATTTGATTCTGTATAAGTAAACGGCATGGGGTGCTTATGGTTTTAATATACAATGTACCTTCAGAGCATGCAACTGTCAAACATGACCTTTTTTTGTGTATGGGTATTTTAATAGCCGTTGTTCATTTTTAATTGATGATACCTATGTACATAATCCATGTCCCCATGCGTTCTTTTCATTGATCGATCCGATACATCTGTGTATATTTATGTGTAAAGATAATATGCACTGAATTGATAACCGGTTATCTCCCTTCTACCAGTATTTAATCGTCTGAAAAGGAACATGTTGAGACATAGTTAAGCCTTGTAACATGTCGAGCATGCATATTCACCTGATCACATTCTTCTGAAATAACCCGAAATAATTTTATGTTTTACAATCTTTTGTTTTTCGTTAGAAGGTCAGAACAACATGACATTTAGTTATAAACAATTTTCATTACAGAAGTAATTTGAGATATCTGTGTCTAAGTTTTTGCTTAAGAAATAATCAACGTATGTGTGTGTTTTGTGGTGGAATACTGATAACGAGGATGAGAAAATGTTGAAAAAATAACAGTTAACTAAGGCCGCTTGCGGCAGGAGTGTAATGATTTCACAACAATTTCGAAATATTGCCGAGGTGTATTTTTCATCATCACATACAGTGCACAAGCATATTTTGATATAATATATGCCACCAAGAAAAATGTTATGACGGTCCTTTTGGTGTCTACCTCAGTGTCCATGCGCTTATGATAAATAAGGTGACCTAGTATAATCTAATTATTTAATAAGGTTGTTGTTTTGCTCGCGCTAAAGTTTGTCACGTGATGCTCATATGTCTTCATTGCAAAAGCTGCGAGATTTCATCTTTTCTGACCCAATGGGCAGTTGTCCTATATTGTCTAGTACGTAGATGTATATGGGAAGGATTTTCATTTTCAGTTGGCATTTTGTCTAAAGACGATAAATAATTAACACTGACGGTATCCGTTATATGAGGCGTTTATTTCAATCAATCGAATCTAAAACTATATCGATATCACTCGTTAAGCAATCAACATTTGACAAATAGCGGAACATTCTGACCGCGAGCTTGACATGTTTTCATGGGATCTAGAGGTTAAATAGAGACCTTTTCGTTGTATGATAGCAATTCATCAAATACAAACAAAATTAAAGGTAAGTACCGACAAAAATAGTACGGACAAGAATATCCGGAAGTTTATCTTTATGTCAAAATGTGAATGTATACCTATTTGTTAATATATATGAATGACGAATGCTGATACTTGATCGAATATTTTGAACAGTATTTACATAATTTAAAGGCGGTTCTAGAAGCCCAAGTACATTGTATATATATGTGTTTATGTCATAAAATTTTGGAAAATAGAATAAAAAAAGAAACATATGTACCTATGTTGGACAAATAAAATCAGTCCCGTGGTTCTCTGTTTACATATGCTAGGAAGGGTTTTGGAAGAGCGTTGCGCGTGCATGGTTAGTTCGAAAACAGGTACATATATATAATGTCTTCTTTGTCCTATGAATACATAGAGCATATACATTTATATATTTACATTCAACATCACAAAAAAAGGTGATTAGTTATAGTCATTAACTTTTCATTATTCTGCAAAATTATTCAAAGATGTGGTACATGTGTCCTAATCACAAATTACGTTTTTTACATTTTAGAAGTGTACCCAAAAGACGTGTGTGCTTCATATGAAGTGGATACATAGGATGTGTTGAACAA